TAGGCTCTAGCACAGGCAAATTCTTAGGCTGTGCTCAGGGATTTGCAGACCTGAATAATAATAATATTTTGCTTGGAGAAATTTCCTGGCCTGCAGATAACCTTTTTGTCCTCTACATTTTAAATATCTGAAAGGCAAGTAAACAACTGAGCCATTTCTTTGGTTACCAAAATTTTTGTCTTTGAAACTGATCTCTTCTCCCCAGAGGAGATCATCTAACTGAGTGCAAAGCACACCCAGCCCCTTCCTTTGGCTTCTTGGAAATCCAAGCATAAAGGATAGAGCCCAGCCTGCAAGCTCATCAAAGCGTGGGCATATCTAGGAAAGGGGAGTAGATATGCTTGTGCAGCTGTGATGCTCGGAAACAAGCAGCTGTTCACAACCGTGCTTCTCCGTCTTGCTTCTTTTTTTAGATATGCTCTTGGGGGAGAAAGGACAGATTTTGAGCAGCAGTGGTTCCTTTTAGCATGGTGATTTCTTAGCCCACACCATATCAGCAAGACAGCTGGTGGACTTGATTCATAGAAAGCCAAGTATCACAGGATCTGAGATGTAAGGCTGCAGTGTTTTGGATTTGAACTCCTCCAAAGAGAAGGTAGTTCACCAGCTTATCACACAAGAAACTGTACCACTGGCTTCCTAAGTAGATAGAATCTCTACTTTGACTCGTGACCATGGAGGGTCCCCACATTGAGATTTACTATGTGAATGCAGGATTCACCCCAAGCATTGTAGTTTCTAACTTGAGGATACTGTTGGGTTGAGCATATGGGCTTGGGCACTAAGCATTTTGGAGGAAATAGAGGAAAACCCATGTATGTGTCATGGGTTTTTTTGAGAACCAAAAGGGATAGATGCAAAGAAAAAAGATTATGTCCAGCAAGAAAGATATTTTGATCTGATATTGAGCATGTGCTGGTTCTTTTAAATTCATCTAAGGGAAATTATAAATGAAAAATCTGTTAAAACAGACACTTAGTAAGCATCAGAATGAAAGATTTAGATGCTTTTCAGATTTTTGTTTTGCGTTAACTATTTGGTGGTACCACAATGATATTCTGAGGTACTTTGCTACCACTAAATCGGTATTTTTCTGAAAAGGATTTGAGTTGAATCTGCCCAGTTTTAAATGCAAATGCAGATTAATATTTTAGACAGTCGTAATAGTTGGTTTGAAACCTATTTCTGATTGCATGTGATGCTTGCAGGCACAGTTCTCCAGGTTGAGATCAGTAAACATGCTATCTGCATCTTTCATTAGCAAAACTTGTCTTCCTACATAAGCTTGTTATGTGTCAGGGTCTGAAACTTAACCTCTGCTCAGGTCAACCCTGAGGATCCTCATGATGTGCAACTCTTCCTCATTACACCAAGAGTCCATTCACTCTCCACTTCTTACTGTGTTGCCTTGTGTCTTCCTTCTGTAGAACAACTCCTTTTGGCACTAATTGTCAAAATAACTGTCTGGTATCTCTAGTATCTCCAGCCCTTATGTCTCACAAAAAGAGCACTTCGTGGATCTGCATGGGGCTCTCTGCTCTTCCAGTGCGTGCTGGTGCATCCATGCAATGCAGAGCAGCTGTCTCAGATCCGAAGCTGCTGCTTTCACCTCCAGCAGTGGTGTAGCTGTTGTCAGCTCTTTGGTTTGCACCCTCTGCTTTGCATTGTGCTCTGTGGTCTTCTAACACTGTTTCTGTAAGCTAGCTGCATCTTGAGAGGCTTTGGGGTACACTGCAGTGCTCTGCCAGTTCTTACTGAAAAACACAAACCTTTTCTTGAAAAGGCCATGCTTCAAAGCTGTACCACAGATGTGCTCCTGTGGGTATGTGCTGTTCCTGCCATTCTGGAACATTGAATATTGCTAATTAAATAAGCCCTTTGTTTTTTAATTTATTAAAGAACATGCTGGTATGTCACAGTTTAGTACTCTGGGTGAGAACTCACCCTCCATTGAAATGGATTTATGTCTGCTCTCAGAAGGTTATTGTTTTACTGGAATTTATGTGCTATGCTTCAGTGTTAATTGTGGATTATTCTCATCACTTTGCATCTCGTCAGAAATGGGCTGTACTTTAGCAATCGTATTACCCAGACTTGCATGCAGTATTCATACATCTGTGATTTAACCCACATCTGCAATATTTCATAACATAAAGGAGGCAATGAGTAGGATTCAGGTCTTGGATTGAGATGGGTTTAACAGTCAGTAGAGGGGTAGCCATTACAGTCAGTGGAACCTGGAGAGTAAATCAGCAGACCGCATATAGGAATCTTCTTTAAGGTGAGTTTTCTACACTCAGTGAAGTTAATTCTTTGGGAGCTTTAACTCCTGAGTGCACAGCCAGCCAGCCACCCATAGACCTGCATTTAGGAGGTCTTAATCTGCAAACGGAACCCCTTATTTCACTCTGCTAGAGCTTCTTCCCAAGACCTTGCTTTTCCCTTGCCAGGCTAACTTCCAGGTGGACTTGCTGAAGGTACTGAGTTATTTTACCCAATAAAAGCCTGCTCCTTCATTTCTAATTGAGGAATGTGGCTGGCCTATGATACTACTAGATCAGTGGAGAGAGAACAACTTCCTAAAAACAGTTCAGATCTTTGGTGGCTAAACCACCCTTTGAATGGGTGTCTCCTCTGTTGTGTATGCAGAGAACATGGGGAACACCTGACTGAGGCCCCTCAGTTCAGTGCCAACAGATAGAAAATTAATATGCACTGCAGACTTTTTGAAATTACACCTGGCTGGTTAACACACTCCAGGAGAAATAAGAACATGAATAAGGCTGAGTTCAAAGGCTGGTAGGTCATCTCCATAGCCTTCCCATGTGTTTTTGCTCCTGAGGAGAGGAGGAATTTATCCTTATCATGGCTGGACTTCAACTTAATACTAGTTCAATGACATTACTTGGCTAAGAACTTCTGCACCTAGGCCAGAGTAACACTGGGCACAAGTATAAATTGAGGGAGGAGTGGCTGGAGAGCAGCCCTACAGAGCGGGACCTGGGTGTGCTGATCACAGTAGGCTCAGTATCAGTCAGCAACGTGGCCTGGCAACCAAGAGGGCAAACCAAAGCCTGGGGTGCACCAAACACAGCACAATCAGCTGGACAAAGGAGGAGATTGTCCCATTGTATTCTGTGTTGCAGTGACCTCAGCTTGGTACGGTGTGCAGTTCTGGGGCCCGCAGTTTAAGAAGTATGTGAAGCTACTCAAGCATGTGCAGAGGAGGGCAAGTGGAGAGGGAGCTACTGAGCTCTTCTCCCTGGTATCCAGTGATAAAATGTGTGGAAATGGTTCAAAGCTGCATCACGGGATGTTTAGACTGGGCATTAGGAAGCATTTCTTTACCAGGGTGGTCAAACACTGGAACAGGCTTCCTAGAGAGGTGATTGATGCCCTAAGCCTGTCAGTGTTTCACAGGACAGTGCCCTTAATAACATACTTAAACCCTGAACTGGTCAGGCAGTTGGACTGGGTGATCACTGTAGGTCCCTTCCAGCTGAAATAGTCTACTCTGTACTATTGTAAAGACAGTTCTCTGAATTCAAAGGGCAGGGCAAATCTCTGATGGAGAAAGCAAGTTCACTTCCTTTTCAGCTAGAGTTCTAGGAATAAGCTTTCCTCTTTTCCAGAAAATATGTTATAAATATTATTTGGGTTCAGATAAGTTTAAAGCAATACCAGTACTTGAATCTCACCTTTCTTCAAAATAAGGAAGTCATTTCGCCTGCCTGGTCCCAATGTACAGAGACACCTGTGAAAATAGAATATTTCCACAGTCCAAATACAAAGCAACAGTAATAGTTTAATTGATGTATGAGTTTCTTTACTGGTTTTTTGGATGCTCTCTATGTGGCCCTGATAATTTTGAGGTAAGCAATGCCTGTATCTGCATGCTGATATGCAATCAGCCCGCCTCCAAGGAGAGTTCTCTGAAGTTAATGTTATCACTGGGATACACATTTACCAAGTCCTTATCCTGCAGGCTGGTCAAAATGTTAGGAAAGGTAAAAAGCACTTTTAAAAGATGACTGTTCTGGAAATAGGACACACAATGGGTACTAGAAGGAAAGAAAACAGTAAATTTGTTCCCATATACTGTGTGCCTGAGGACATTTGACAGTAAGAAAAAGCACTTGGAGAGATGGCTAGGATACTTTCAGAGAGCATTGTTTTCATAGATTAGGAAAGCTCCTTTGCTTCTGGAGAGCTTATCTGTATCAACAGCTTTTCTTCCCCTTTAAAAGAGTTTGGAAATTGTTTTCTTAGATGAGCAAAAAACCTGAGAATTGCAGAGACAGTCAGGACATTATAAAAAAAACACAAAAGAAAGATGGTCCTATTGAGAACAGGAAGAGCTAATTTCAGGCAGCACACAGGAAAGGTGAACGTAAATAGAAAAGAAAATGGAAGGTCTTGGCAAAAAAAAGAGCTGCTTTGCCAGGCAAGGAGGAGATGTTGAACGTAAGCAGAAAATAAAGCTGTAGTGGCTCTAGCATTGTACAGGTATGTGTAATGGCATAGATATGGTACTTTACAGATGCTTCAATGAAATGCTTTCTTTGAAGAGGCAGTGGAAACTGCAATGTCAAATATTGCAAACGCAGAAGTCTATCCTTGGTTCAGCCTGCATGTCTGCAATGTTAGTGAAATCTCAGTCCAAAGAAAGAGGTGTCCACAAGATTCTTTTTTCCTCTGTGCTTTTCCTCCAAGGCTTCTAAAGTGTCTCTCTTTGGAAAAAAAAACCCTCCAAAACAGTTATTTGTCTGCATAAGAACATTGTCCCCATGTCCTGGGGGTGACAAGTCAATGGAGGAAAGAATGTTCAGATGTAGGCACACCAACATGACCCATGGCCTTTTGGTCCTGTGACTGGTGTCCTTTCCACATGACTTTGCATTCAGGTGGGGTTTAGGCATAGCTGAGTGCTGTCAGATTGCATGTCTCAATAGCAGAGGATATTGGGAACTGATAAAACAGCAAATCTCCTCCTTGTTTAGATGACTTCACGAAGCAGGGCCAAGGCATGATCGTGCTCTATACCATGAAGAACCCCTCGTTCCCAGAGTATGTCTTCAGCAGTGAGAGTGGCATCATGTGCTTGGACTTTCATAATGACCACCCGCACCTCATGGCAGTGGGCTTCTATGATGGCAATGTGGCCATCTACAACTTGAAGAAGTCAACCTCCCAGCCTAGCTACAGGAGCAGTGCTAAAGCAGGAAAGCACACGGAGCCAGTGTGGCAGGTAAGGATGCTTTTCCTTTCCTATAACTGGGCTTTTAATTGGGCTGAGTTTGGGCATAGCAGGGAAAAGTGCTGTATGGGGAAAGGTGTTGATTTAATACCTGTGTTAACGATTTATTATTAAGTTGTATTTCAAGCTATTTTTGAAATACACAGAAAGGCGAAGCAATTGCATGAATTCTTGGTCCTCAACAGAATCTAAACATGTGAGCAAAGGTTTGCTAAAAACAATTATTTCTCCTTAGTTTTCCTTATTATAAATGACTTGTGTTTAGGGAGGAACTGATCTCCTCTGTATATACCAACATGGAATATTATTTATATTCCAAATACAAAATGACAGGGCAGCAAGTGATTAGCAGTGTGTAAAATGCGTATTATCAGCTCTAAAAGAGAGCTCTGTTGGGCACAATAAACCCAGGGGCAGCTCCTTGTGGAATTGGCTGTCACACTATCTTGTAGTTGACCTTGAAGTATTCTAGTGAATTAAGAATTGTGATGTGCAGGTAATGCTCTTAAGGTAATGCCACTCTAGCATCTGTCACAAAGAGTCACCAGATGGATCATATTGTGAAGGACTGGAGTGAATATGTTGCTACATCCAGCTAACTTTATAGTTATGTCTAGAACATAATCTGAGTGAAGATTGGAGCACTGGAAGATATATGCACTCCTGATCTTGTTTATAGCAGTAGAAGTGTGGCAGCACATGTTTCAGCATGGTCTGTATGAGCCTGTTGAAGTGCAGGAGTGTGCATTTGGTTTCCTAGTCTGGGCTACACGTGTTGCTGCCCTTTACTATTGCTGTCACCTGATTTAGGCTGTCTAATGCAGTCGTATCTCTAGGCACACTGTCAGTGTTCCTTGTACTTTGGCACATGCCATGCATGGATTGTCCCCCAGCCACGGCTCCTTGTTATTGAATCTTTGAATAAAAGTCCAAGAAATCAAGGGATCCTAATGGGACTGCAGATGAACGTGGAATATGCCAAGAGCAAGACTGGTGCTTGCTATAAACAGAGAGGTTATGCAAATGTAACATTTCAGAGAAGACCTGAATTTTATATTTGCTGCTCATCTGTCCAAAGCTTTTCCTCTAGCAAACAATTTTAGCTCTTCTTACAGGTTAGTGTGGTACCATGTGTTGTTATCATAATGCAATATGCCAGACTCACATAGACATGCACCTATGCACACACACCTCCCCTTGCCCCCTCTAAGCTTCTCCCATTGCCATTTAGGCTTCTGGTTAAAAAGTCTGACAAAATATTAAGTTTTCTGTGCAGTGTTCATTGCTGTGGCTTGCTATGGGAGGTCAACAGTTGTTACTGCACACTATGGATGCCAGAATTGCAGATCATTTGTGCGTCAGATAATACTGGGAAGGACAGAGTATGCTTAAGGGCTGTTATTAGTGGACTCATCCCTACAGAGCAGAGGTAGGTACATTCAGCAGTAGCAGCAGTCTGCATGGGATTTTTAGAGGTAGGTTAATGTGTACCACTTGTCAGCAATGTGGCTCAGAGGTGAGAAAAATCATTAGGCACTCTAGAAAGATAGCTCTGAAAAGGAGAGTAACTACCTCATGGATATGGGAAGATGTAGGTATGAGTAGACTCTAGTTCCTGCTTGTTTGTTTTATTTCCAAAGGCTGAGTGCTGAGAATCATCAGTCTTAGCTTTCTGCTGCAGTAAAGTACCAACATTTTTAGTAAACTTGGCAGTTTTTGGTTTGCTATGAAACTAGTGAGCAAGGGTAGTAGTAAGGTGATTGCACGGCAGTCAGGAGAAGAGCTTGTACCACTCTTGGAAATATCTGAACTGTAGGCGTTTGTCAATATCAGACAAAAGGTTTAGAAAAGGTTTTCTCTTCATTTGATGAGAGGAAAGGGGACATGAAGGACTAGGTTGAGACACTGGATTGTTGTTCCTCACTCAACATTAAATGGTTCTAGAAAATTATGCCTTGTTTCTCATATTTAGTTCAAAGATGCTCTATTCTCTAGTCTAAATCCTGCTCTTTGTCAGAGCACACTGTGCAGTCCTCACTGTTGTAGAGACTGCAGCCCATGACTTTGAAGACCAATTAGAAAAGTAACAAAGTCTCCCGAACAATTAGGAGCCTTTGTTCTCTGGACTGCCTGGCTCCTTCCTTTTGAAACAATACAGTCCTTTCACAATAGAAGCAATATGGGAAGTGAGTAAAGCAGGCTGACAGCTCTTTTCTTGTGCCATTTCATCTTCAGTGACTTAGTAATATCTCAGTAAGTTTGTGTAAAACAAAGCTGTTGTAACATAGCCCATTATTAGGAGTAGAATAGAATAATATACATTTTCTGATTCTGTTACCTAAGAATGAGTTTATCTGCCTGATACCACTCCTTATGTTTTTAAAGAGTATAGCAATGATTTTTCATAGATTTGGCAATTGTCTTCCATGTAGTAAGTGCTACTGCATTGTAAAGAATGGAAAATTCTGGCTTGTTTTAAATGACAGATTTCTAATTCCTTACTACCAATTGATTAAGATCCAAAATCAGAACGGAATAAACACATACATAGACATGTGAATGTATATGCACGCAGTGCAATGTGGCTAATACACCACCAAAACCTTAGGTCTTACAGGAACATAGAACTAGAAATGATCTCCCAGGTCAGTGAATTCAAGCCTCTGCCTTGCTGCAAACAGCACCTTAAAAGGAGTCAGCTCTTGGGAAACTGTGTCAAACCTGTCATGTTCTGCTAGGTGAAAGTCTATGTGGAGTTAAGCTCAACCCAACTTCAATCAAAATAATGCTCCAAATAGTCAGCACAATTCTCACATTCCCATAATCTCCAGCACTGAGTACTCCTAGAAAGCAAGTCCCTGGACAGAGTATCTGTTTGAGCCAGTGGCTCAATCCCAAGGCTTGGCTCTGGGTGTTAGTGAGGGTGGTCAAAGTGGGACAAGTTGTCTGGACTTTGGCACCCAGAGCCCACGAGAACAGTCTCCTTTGGGGAGAAGTGACACCCTGCTGGATCGGGCTCTCAGCATAGAGCCTCTCCCTTTGCCAGCTTTGAGCTTTGTTCTTACTTTCTCTCTTCTTTTTGTAAAAGATCGTGATTAGGGTTTATTTACAGCTGAGAAGGGTGCTTTTTTTCTTGCCTTTCATCACTGGGATATACTAAATATTTTAGATTTGAAGCCTTTGGAAGCTGGAGCAGTTCACAAACAGGGATTGATAACTGCAACTATCTGCTGTGTCAACATTTGTTTCTGCTGTTCAATCTCCCTCCTAAAACATATCTTATTCAACATATTTGCTTCCACTGTGTGCTTCTTGTTCACTTTCACATCAGACCAAAAGGACATGATTTCTGCTTGCTGCTGGGACTAGTACAGAGCCAATACTGCTGCAGAGGGTTGGAAATACCTTTTTTTCACTTACCATCAGAATTACTGACTAAATTCCCACTGCAGAGTGTTGACCCTAAGATCTGCAAAGGAAACATTTCTTTTGGCTGTGCTTAAAGCAAATCTCATCTGTGGCAGGCTTGCCCATATGCGCAGCATGGTTTGGAATTGCAATGGAGAGATCACTGGTTCGAAAAGCAACTTGATTCACTGTTAATTTACTGAAGCTGATCTGGCCTCCCTGAGGAGCTGATGCCATGGAGCTTCAGATGGCATCCTGAAAGAATTATTTTCTGCCTTATAATTATGCATTGGAAGAGAAAAGGATGGCCACTGCTAGCTAATTCTTCACCAATGCCATTCAGGTTAAATGTGATGCTCATGATAAAAAAGGACAAGGCAGGACAGTAATGGCCTACAGACTGCCAAAGGAATCTAGAGAGAATGTCAGCTTGCAGAATAGTTTCGCAGAACTTGTAAAGTCCCATCTCAAAAGTAAACCAGGTAAAACACACCTGAAACTTGCTCACTGGAGTTTGCCCCATAGTTGCGTGATCCCTTCTCCATCTCTACTTTCTGTGTTCTAATCTAAGTCCTTAAATAAGTCTGCACTGAGTCTTAGCAGTTCATGAAGCTACCCCAGACTCACTGAGGTCTTGTTTTGCTGTTGGATGTAAATGAGTTCTGTTACAGAAACATTTTAAAGTCAGCATGACCTGCTGTTCTCTACCCCACTCTGCTGCTGGGCACAGATCCACAAAGAAGGCCTTTCCAGGAAGCTGATTGTATTTGCTGTACTTAGGAGAAGAAAAAGCATTTTGTTCATAATCCACTGTCACACCAGCACATTGTTTTGTTTCTGATGACGGGTAGTCTCCTAAATCTGTCATCTGCAGTCAGACAAACAGATTTTGCAGCTTGCATTGCCTCTGAGATGTTACTGCTTCACATAATATTTTGTTCCTTTGGCTTCGGGCAAACAAAGGGTCTGATGCAAAGGAAATAAAAGAAAAAGAAAAGACAGAAGGTTGCTATCAAGGGCAGACTAAGGATCAGCTGTCTCAGAACAGGCTCAACATCCTTCCTGTTTCCTTCACTGCTAAGGAGCACATAATAGGTGTTTTCTGGGGGTAGTTCAGTGAAAGAATGTCATTCAACTCTGTGAGGATAATGTTAGGAGATAACTCTCGAGGAGAAACAGAAATCTAGGGAAGAAAGGATGGCAACAGAGACCTGAAACTAAGGAGGCTGGACCTGGGATAGGGATGAGGAGCATAAGGATGCAAGGTTGCAAGTGAGAGAATGTATCCTGAAGGTATACAGAGGACCTTCCTCTCCAGGCCCAGCTTTCTACTACTTTTTTCTTGCCACCAGCCCTGCCTTGCATACCTGGCCCAGTGCAAACAGGACAAAAAGTCTAATTAACCTCTGACGTCCCAGGAGTAAAGGAGGCCACTGTATCCTCATCAGAGAGGTCATTTGGTAATTCAGAGCATGCACAGAAGTACAGAGGAGTGGGAAGAACTTCCGTGGGCCAGCCAGGGTATGCCTGGGTTCCAGAGACCTCCATCTGTCAGATACTTCCTTGTTGGAGCAGTCCTTAGC